GCCACCAGCTCGTCGTGGCTGCCGAGCTCCCAGATGCCGATGCTCTGCTCGCGACGCAGCACGATCCAGCGCTTGCTGGCGCACAGCGCCGCGACGGAGCCGCCGCCGAGCAGGCCGGCGCGCGCTGCGGTGGGCACGAAGGGCACGCGTCGCTGCGTCGTGTCGGCAAACGTGGTGAGCGGGTTGGACGAGATCGGGTTGATGGCCGCATGCTCCTGCTCGACCTTGCTGAGCGTCGCCTTGGTGGCCTTTGCGCTCGCCGAGGGGATTTGTGCGATGGTCGCCGCCTTCTGCGCCTTGACCACGGCGGAGGGCGGCGCGGCGGGCGTGAGCACCAGGTTGAAATCCACGCCGCCACTGAGCAGCACGGGCAGACGCGCGGGCTGCTGGGTGTCGCCGCCGCCGCTGCTGCTAGCCTGCGCCGTATCGAGCGGCGAGTAGGGCGGATCGAGCGCGAGCGCGCGGATGTCGTGTGCGTGGAGCCGCCTCGAGGCGATGTGGATCCAGCGTCCGCGTGCGTTGTTCGAGTCGATCCTGGTGTATTCGGCGACCTTCTGGTCTACGCCGGCGCTGTAGACGGTCCTGCCGTCCGGGCCGACGCAGAGGGCGAGCACGTCGGAGGATGCGGCGTGTGCGCGGAAGGTGCCGTCGGTGAGCGGGATGCGGGTGCGTGCATCAAAGAAGGTGACGCGACCCGTAGAGTCGCCGGTGACGATGGTTCCGTCGGGCAAGGTGGCGACGCTCCACACGATGGTGGATTCATTGCGGTTCTTGTGCACGCCCAATTTGGTGGCGATGTTGCCCGTCGATGCATCCCAGACCATGGCGCTGGAGAGAGCGAGGCCACCGACGAGGAAGGACTCGTGCCACTGCTCATCTTCATCTTCATCGTCGTCGTCATCATCGTCGTCTTCGTCGCTGCTGTCACTGTCGCTGTCGTCGCTGTCTTTTGCAGTGCTCTGTTGCTTGCGGGGGGTGGTGCGCCTGTGGGAAGAGCGGACGGGAGGACCCCAGCAGAGGCTGATGACCTTGCCCTTTGCCTTGCCGAAGCGCGGGGCGATGTGGCGGTCGCGACCCGAGGTGGCTGCGAGATGCTCGAATCGGTCGTTTTCGAGGTCGATAATCTTTACCGAACCGTCTTCGCAGCCGAGAGCGAGGAAGCGGCCGGTGGCGGAGGGTGCCATGCTCCACACGGCGCCTGCGAGGGAGGGAAGGGTGCGCGTCTCTCCCGGGTAGTGCGGGTCGAGGTCGTCGGCTGCTCGCTTTCCGAAGAGCGAAGAGACGGTGCCGGGGCGCGAGGAATTGGTGGTGTCGTCGTCGGAGCCGGCAGCTGCGCGCGCACCGAGCTTGGCGAGATGCAGGGGGATAAAGTGCTCGGTGACGATCGATCCTCCAGAGATGCTAAAGAGGCGGAGCTTGCGCGGCTGTGTAGCGTCCTGAGTGGGTGGGTTGGCGAAGCAGAGGTGCTCGATCTTGGAGTTGACCTGACCGGGGAGGACGGTGTGGACGGCCCAGCCGGCGGCGTCGGACTGGAAGGAGCGGTCGTCGAACTCGGACTTTTGAGCTGCACGCGGGCCCACCCACGTGCAGAGTTCGATGTTGCCATTGTGGCGACCGATGGCGAGGAGGCCTCGAGCTGCGCCGCTGAAGGCGGGAGAGACGGCGAGAGCGGTGACGGTGGATGGCGACCAGTTGACGAAGCGGACGCGGTGGATGGCGACCGATGAGGCGCTGGCGCCGTCGGTGTTGTGGTCGTGGATGGCGGCCATGACGAGCGAGGATGAATGCAAGGTCCTTGGGAAGACTCTCTTGCTGCTCGCTATGCGAAGGGGGGTAATGTGGGGCGTTGGTGGTGGTGAGGAGAAGGAAGAGGAAGAGGAAGAGGAAGAGGAGGTGCTCCTCAGGGTTCATTCATTCAGGCTTGGAATCAGCGAGCTCAAAAGAAGAAAAAAAAGCGGCACTGCAGGCCAGTCTGCTTTTTTCTTCTTCTTCTTGTCTTCGGCAGGTCCGGGTGGTGTGGAGCGCGCGCATCTGGCTTGCATCGGAACTTCCGAAATTTTGAAAAATCGGCGGCGGCAGAAGAGCGGTGTAGAGGGGAGGTGGCACGTGACGGTGCAAAGGCACGAAGGAGTTGGACTCCACTCGGGATCGCAATGAACTACCGTTACTCTGTCACCATCACAGCATCGGCACTGCCGTCACATCACTGATATCGGATCAGCCGCGCTCTCGATCATGCCGTAAGTACATGCCGAAGCAGCCGAGACTGCCTCCCAGCTGCACCAAAGCACAATGGCGTGGCTCGTGACTCACTTTCAATCTGCCGTTGCTCTCCTCCTCGTCTGTTGGGATGCTCAGTCTTTACGAGCTTCTCTGCGTCGCCGCCTCGTCGGCCGAGTCGGCGCCGCTGCGCGATCTGGTCAAGTCGACGTCCAAGCTGATCCTCGAAAACGGCGGCGCAGTGCGTGGCGTGCAGTACTGGGGGCAACGACGTCTGCCCCAACGAGCACGCCGTCATCAGCAATATCACAGCACCGGAGAGTAAGTGTGACCGCCGCAATCGATAAGCCATCCTCGACCGATACTGACCTACTGCTCCCTACCTCATCGCATCGGATCGACCGCATCTTGCTCGTGTTTCTTGCTTGCTCTGCGCAGCTACTGGCTGATGCACTTTGACACCAACGCACCGGTGCTCAAGTCGCTCAACGATCGATTGCGAGCGGATCCACGCGTGATCAAGTGGACCGCGCTCAAGCTCGGCGACAGGCTCGACCAGATCACACCCAAGGCAACATCGGGCGGCCTCGATACGAGCGCCGACGCTCCCGAAGCACGCGCGCTCTTTGGCGGAAAGACCATGCGATACGGCTGGAAGTAGGCCCTCACCAACTCTTCCTCCTCGGCATAGTCTCATCTTGTACTTGTATACTCTTTTAAAGCATCTCCACACCTGTCCTGCATGGCACATCAGCAGCGCGTGTCTTACCGTCCTTCGTGAGCGAACACTCCCAGTCCCATCGACGGCATAGAGCGTCAAAGTGAGGCAAGGAAAGGCAAGGCAAAGCAAGGCAAGGCAAGGCGAGTATCCTAGACATGGCTCTCTCTACTGTGCTACGGCAGGCTAACATGGCGAGTCCTGACCGGCTAGACTCGACTTGGCACTCGTTGCAGCGTGGAAGGGTTCAAGTGACATGGCGTTAGTAGGTCGAGCAACGAGCGCGACATACATCGGGTCGGAGACAGATCGGGACGCCCAGATCGGAAAATCGAGGTGGCTCAACGCAGTCGGCTGCACGGGCCGATGCGTCGCCGATGCGCGTCGACTGGCCTCGCAAAATTGGGCTCCGATGGCGAAGGCCGACAGCGCCATATCGCAGTCTCGAGTCGCCGCTCCACTCGACTCGACTCCACACCCGCGCACAACCAGAGCGTTGGCAGCTGCCACTCGACTCTCGACACTTGGCTGACAATCACCATCATCGTAATCGCCTCGGCATCATCCCTCTGCCTCCAAGATGGACACCAGCAGCCATCTCACACACACCCTGCCATTCTAAGCATCCTTGCCCTCAACCATGTCGACAGAGCCATCCTCGGGCCACCACGCCCAGTCCAGCTCGACCTCGGGCCAGAACGACTCCTCCGACCTCAACTTCACCTCGTCCAGCTCTTCAGGCCCAGCAGTGCAGCCACCCCAGCCTGCCGCACAAAGCACCTTCCAATGGCCCTCGGAACCGCTCAACCATGGCCGTCCATCGCTGCCGCAAGAGTCGCAGAAGAGCGTAGACGACGCCAACCGCGACATTTCTCAGCGCATCACCGACGCAGACCACGACGCCAACCTCCACCCCGCGCACAACACCCCCCACCCAGACCTCGACCATCCTCGCCTTTCCGCACAGCTTGCACATGCCCTCAACAACATCGAGGATGATCGCAGGCAGCAGCTCTCCCCCACCAGCACTTCCTTCCTCCCCGACAACTCCACCTCGCTTCCCATGCTCAGCCCTCAGCCCCAAGCCATGCTGCGCTCAACCTCCAACAGCACCAGCAAATCCGCAGCTTCCGACAAGCTCGATCCATCCTCAGCCGCGCCGTCCGCCGCCCAGTACAATTTCCTCCCCGAAATGTTCCGCAACGCCGCCACCATGCCCATCAACCTCCTCCGCTCCCTCATCCCGGACAACGCCTTCTCCGCCGCCAACGACGAGGGCCTCAGCGCCAGCACTCTCCAGGTCCCCGTAACCAGCTTCAGCGCCCTCTTCGAAGCTTGCAAGGCGCTCGAGTGGCTCGCCACCCAGGCCGCCAACTTTGAAGCGCCCGACAAATCCTCCGCCTCTCGCTCGCGCAGAAACTCCACCGGACAGCTTCAGTCCGACGACAACGTAGAGTTCACCTACTTTGACTACTTCCAGGTCCTCCAGAAGGTCGCAGACGTCGTCAGCGGTCTCGCCGCTTCGAGAGGCATCGATCTCGTCCTCGACCTCGATCCAAAGCTCGAGGGTCAGCCTGCCGAGAATCAGCGCAACTACAAGCTCGGCTCGTGCACCGTCTGGGCCGATCGCATCGCCGTCACCTTCCTCTTCATGAGCTGCATCTCCAGACTCCTCCACAAGGCGCCCCTGCACTCATCGGTCGTCATCACCACCACGCTCACTGAAAAGGAAGAGACTGTCCCACGTCCAGACGCACAGGCCGAGATGAAGCTCATGGTCCTCTCCCTCGGTCTACGCCTCATCCTCTCCGACGGCAGCAGCCCTTCCACAGAGTACGTGTCGGCCATCAGAGACACCCCGGCCTCGCTCTTGCTCGATGCATTCGGCGCACGCCTCATCACCGAGCAGTCCACCATCAAGACCGCCTCGGGCGCTCAACAAAGCGTCGTCGACCATTCCATCAGCGTACCCATCGGCCAGCTCTCCGACCCGCAACAGGGTGCTGGCTCCAAACATCCCAGCGATGCTTCCGCCCATGACATTGTCGGACCCGACGAGTCGGAGCTCGTCGACTTTGCCGCCTCCTTGAAGGGAAAGAAAGTAGCGCTCTACTCGTCTTCGCAGAGCCTGTTTGCGCGCCAGCTCTCCACCTTCCTTTCCGGCCTTGGCTGCGACATTGCACCCGTCTTCTCCGACAGCGTCGATGAATCCTCGCTCGAAGGCGGTGACCAGGTGTTTGGCAAACAGGCGCACACCGCCGTCGCCATGACCGCAGGCAGGCCGGCTCTCGTCAGCTACACCAGCGACATGGATAGGCGCGCTCACTCGAACCAGCCCCAGTCCCCTCGCATGCCTTCGCAGCCCGTTGTGGGCACGACCGCGACGCCAGCTGCCGTTTCTGCAAGCACAGTGGTGCTGGACCCCGTTACGGGCGTCCCCATCACCTTTGACAGACCCGTGTTGCCGCCCAATGCCACAAGCGCCAAGGACGACTCCGACGCACACAAGCATCCAGATCAGCTCGACAGACGCGTCGTGCCGTTCAGCTTTGTCATCATCGACGACGACATTGTCACTCTGCAGAAGGAGTTGCTCCGCATCCGCTCAGCCGTGCCTCTGCTCAAGTCGGCCTTGGTCTCCAAGACCGCGCAGCAGCCGACGTCGCCCAACGACGACAAGAGACCTGCGCGACCCGTGCTCGATCACCGCACCAAGTCGACTCCGCACGTGAACCGCCTCATGGCCTCGCAACCTGCAGAATCGCACTCGCGCTCCTTTGGCTCTCTGGGATCGATGCTCATGTCTGGCGACAAGGTCGAGGCCGCCGATATCGGCGATTCCGCCGCCGACGCTGATACGGCTGTGGCTGCGGATTGTGTCTCGCAGACAATCGTCTTTTTCACGTCGATGAAGTCGTACCGCCTCGTTCGGGACACGGTGCAGCCCATCATCGACTCGGCCAGCTTCCACGGCGTCTCGTCACCGCCCGAGATCATGGTGTTGCCCAAACCAGCGGGAGCCAAGCGTATCTTGACGGCGTTGCATCTGGCAGAACGAAAGCCGGTGGTCAAATTGCCTTTCCTCCCCATCGCAACATCGCCCCTGTCGCCGCTCACCACGTATGCCAAGAGCTGGTGGACTCCAGATGCGTCGCAGAAGGGCGATGCCAACGGGATCATGACGCTCACCCGCCGCGTGACAACCTCGACGGATGCCGATTTTGACACCATGCCCTCGACGCCATGGACGCCAGTCGATGCGTCCAAGCCTTCCGATGCACCGGCCACTCCGCAGATCCCGCTGACCAGTGAGACGCTTCCGCTGGCCGGACAGTCGGCCCAGAGTGCTGGTGCGCACACCACGCACAGCGCAGAGACCACCAAGCAGCCCGTGCGTGGCGCACCGGCCTCCACACCTGCTGCGCCGACGACGGCCAAGACCACACCACTCTCTGCGGCGTCGCATAAGTCTGGCAAGAACGGGGTGCTGAGCACGGCGCCCGCGGCTGCCGATGCCACCTCGACGCAGAAGAGCGCGCATCCTGGCTCAGCAGCGGCGAATTCATCATCGCCCTCGTCGGCCGCCAATCCAACCAGGTCGCTGCCGGTCAACAGTCCCATGCCCGCTGATGCGCTTGAGTACTTTAGCGAGACCGCGGCCAAGATGGGCGGGTCCGCGGCGAGCGGCATGGTGATCCAGAGTCCCGACGGGCGGCCGGCGGGCATCTTTTTCCAGCCCAAGGGCATGCAGTCCAACACGTCGCTGCCGGGCTCGAAACCGGCGCTCTCGCGCGGCGTGTCGGCATCGTCGCTGCGCCGCAGCATTCCGAGCACGTCCGAGCACGGCGACAGTGCAGGCCAAGGCGTCAGTCCTGCCTCCGCCGAGTCGGGCACGCGCGAGAGACGCCTGACGGGCCGCAGCACTGCGTCCAGCGCTGGCTCGGCGCGTGGTGGCGGTGAGCCAGGCCCACGCGGCGCTCTGCCAATCTTGTCCGAGTCGTTGGCGGACTCGACCCCGGCAGACGCGTCGGCGGCGGGCGGGCGGGTGCAGAGCAACGGCAAGTATGCCAGCGGAAGCATGTTTGCCCCGCAGGTGGGAATCCAATCTGTGATGAATTCGTCGCGCCCGCCCGTGACGACGCCGTTGGGCACGAGTGCTTCGTCGGCAAGCCAGGATCCAGCCGCAGCCTCCGAGTCCGCTTCGCTCCCCGCCGTGACGGAAGAAAGCGTCGCCACACGGACGGACAGCGCAAACGCAGACACAGCTGCACAGCGTGCAGGCAGCGCCGGCGCCACCAAAGGCAAAGCCAAGGAGGCCAGTCCCAGCACGTCGGCGATCGCTCGCAAACCCACCAAACCCGCGACGCCTCCGACCAAGACCACTGCCACTTCCGCCGGGGCGGCGACGGCATTGCCACCGAAAGCGCGCACCGCCTCTGCAGCAGCGGCGGTTCGTGCGGCGCGGCCATCGGTTGGCAGTGCTACAGCATCACCCTCGGATGCACGCACCAAGCCGTCGGCGGTTGCGCAGTCGGGCTTTATGATGGGCATGGGCTTCACCGCGTCAGCACGCCGCGGACGAGGACCCAAGAAGGCGCCCGTGCGCGAAGCGGTGCTGCCGCCGATCAAGGTGCTCATCGTCGAGGACAACCCAATCAACCAGCGCATCCTGTCCATGTTCATGCGCAAGAAGAGCATCAAGTACGACGTGGCCAACAACGGCCGCGAGGCGGTGGACAAGTGGAACACGGGTGGGTACCACTTGATCCTTATGGACATTCAGCTGCCGGTTATGGATGGCATCGAGGCGACCAAGGAGATTCGCAAGTTGGAGCGCCAGGCGAATATCGGCATTCTGCCCAACACGCCGCCCGCTGTGCCCGAGTCGCGCGTGCACAAGTCGGCCTCTCCACCGTCCAAGAGCGCTGGTGGGTCTCGCACCATCGCCTCCAAAGCCGCGGATAATGCGGACGGTTCGACGGCCAACGGTGTCGTCGAGACGAACGTAGGTGCAGGGGTTGTGCGTCGCACTGGAAGCACAAACCCGTTCCGGGCATCGGTGATCATCGTCGCACTCACGGCGTCGGTGCTGTCATCGGACCGAGTGGAAGCGCTTGCAGCGGGATGCAATGACTTCCTAAACAAGCCAGTATCGCTACCGTGGCTCAACCAAAAGATCCTCGAGTGGGGATCCATGATGTACCTCATGTACTCGGGCCTGTCTACCGACGACGTTCGGTCGGTGCAGGCGAACGCGGGCAGGGGGG